TCCCGACGGACGCCAAGCGCCTCGGCCACTTCTCCCGGTTTGCATTGCGTGGCGACGCATCGCGTCTCATACGCCACGGAGGGGCAGGGCTTCTTGTGCGTGCCCTGGCCCCGCCCCTCACCGCTCCGCCCCGCTCCCTGCGGCGTGCCTGGGAGGATTGAGCACTTCCGGGGTAGGTTGGGGGGGGGTGCTGGGCGCTGCGGACCTGAGTGGAGACTGCGGGCCGCTCCCTCACCCGAACTCGTGGGCTCCGTCTTTCCAGGTGCAGCTGGGGTCGCCCTGGTGTCGCGTCGCTAGTGGAGCCTTGCAGTTTCAATGTTTGTGGAATCAAAGGCCCTGTAGGGCTGGGTTACCTGTAGGAGCCTGTGCTTTTTGAATTGTAGGCCTCCCTACTCTTTTTCAAAAGTGTTTTTCACTTCAGTTTGGAAATTAGAAAAAACTAGAAAGAATCCCATTGTATTTTTTGTTGAACATTCTCCAGACCCAATCCTTTGGCCAAAGAACAGGCATGATCATAAAACACACTTCATCCTCACCCGCGAGGTCCCGTGAAAGCCTCGTCTTCAAAAGCAGAGGAGAGGTCTGAGCTGTGTCCTCTAGTAGAGAGGTGGGATAGGACGCTCTGGGTTTCTGTAAACGCAGTTGCTGAGGGTGGAGCAGCTGGCCTGGTCTCTCAGCAACCCAGGCACCTCATGGCTGTGAATCACAAGGGAAACGCGTGCTAGACAGGTGCTCGGTAGCTTTGTGAGGAATAAATAGCGCCCAGCCCTGCAGTGCGCCACAGACTCTACTCTTCCAATAAGTAAGTGTTCATTTCCTTTGCATTACAATGAAATGCGTGCAAAAGATGACTGTTATCTTTCTCTAAGCTATACACAGTTCCCCCAAAACATGTAAGACTGATAAAATAAGAACCTTGTAATGCGTGGAACTACCGAATAAATTAAACCTCAGTAAATATTTCACAACTAAGATGAAAAAAATGGGTCTTTTTTTTTTTTTTGTACCAGGGATGGAACTCGGGACCTCGAAGATGGGTCTTAAGGAAGGAAATTTTTCCCCACTGTTAAGCATACTTATAGATTTGGGTAAGCGAAAAGAAAAAAGAAAAAAGAAAACAACAACAACAAAAAACCCGCCTAGATCTGACTTTAGGATAGGTACCAAAGAACAAGGACAAGAACTTGGAGAGCTCTGACAATAAGGGAAGAGTGCAGCAATGTGAAGTGAAGGAGGAAGAGAGCAGTACTGGACTGAATTAATAAAAATTCTCTAATGATGGGGTCTCACAAAGATTTTAATAAATCCTTAATATTTACACACAATTTAATTTTGTTTGTTTTCTCAGTACTGGGAACTGAACCTAGGCCCTCACGCTGAGCTACATCCCAGTCATTATTTTTTGAGACCAGATCTTGCTAAGTCACTAAGTTGCCCAGGCTGGGCTCAAACTTTCTATCCTCCTGCCTCAGCCTCCCCAAAGGGCTGGGATTACAGGAGTGCACCACCTCTGGCTCCTGCAGTTTTTTTTGTTCCTTTGATGTAGCTGTGCTGCAATTCTTCCCAGTAAATGAAATTCCTCCACTTCCCTAAAACCTCCGGCAAGTTTGCTAAAACACCATTATTCCCATGACTTTTTGTGAATACCGAGGAACGTTCTGTGGATGGGTCAACATGTGCAAAGCAGAAACTAGGCAGGGGAACGATGATGATCCCAGCCCAGATGGTGAAAGAACAGACAAGAATGCTCCTGCATAATTCACAGAAATCTTGGAGGGGCTTTGGAGTTTCGATACTTGAGAAATGAGAAGTTTTGTTTTGTTTGTGTTGTAATACTGGTGACTGAACCTAGGACCCTCACGCTGAGCTACAACTGCAGCCCTTTTAAAATTATTTTCTTAAATATATTTTGAGACAAGGTCTTGCTAAGTTGCCCAGGCCGTGCTCCAACTTGTGATCCTCCTGCTTCAACCTCCCAGAGTGCTGGGATTATGGGCCTGTGCCACACACCTGGAAGAATGAGATGTCTTAAGGAGGGGTTACCTAAATGAAACCGCTTATTGAACTGAGCTCTAGGTCCCTTCTCTTTAAAATATGTATTGTAACAAACCAGACAGCAATAGCTATAGTACTTAGAACCTAACTGGTCACGAATGGTTCAGAAGGCAAGGCCTGGATTTGCCTACAGCCTTCATTCTTGTGACATCTAGCAAAGCCTGGATCATCGTCAGGTCACGTAACATGAGTCACTTCACCGACTGTGTGTTCCGTGCCACACATTCTTTTAAATCTGTGAATCAAAGTCCTTGGTCAACAAAGAACTGACTGCCCGGAGTCCCCAGCCTCTCACCAGCCTGCAGAAGCTGTACTTCGTCCTGGTGTGACGGGGGCCAGGCCTCCTCACCACCTTGTATATTCATGGAGGAATTGGGTGACATCAGGGATAACTTAGCCAGTGTGGAAAACTCGGCATGTCACTTTATAATTTGTCATGCAGTGCGATATAATGCTCAGCCCCTTGCCCCCCTCCTTTTTGGACAAATGGGGATCAAATCCAGGGCCTCACACATGCCTAGAAAGTGCCCTACTGCTGAGTCACATCCCCAACCTAATTTTACTCTGAGACAAGTTCTTATTAAATTGCCCAGGCTGGCCTGGAACTTGTGATCCTCCTGCCTCAGACTCCTGAGTAGCTGGGATTACAGTAATGCACCACCATGGCTCCAAATCATTTTTAATGGTCCTTTTTGTGGTAGAAATATATGAAAATAGGGTTCCTTTCTGATTGATATTTTTCCTACATGAACTATTCTGTTATGGTTTTGTTATTAAGGTGCCTGTATAAGTACATTGATAGAAAGAACATGAATGTATTTCCTCTTGGGGGTCATACCAGGAGATGTGGTGTGTGTTTCTGTGATTACATAGCAGCTGTAGATAGGTGACTATCTCAGAGTGTAATAAAGGTTTCTGTGTCTATTCAGGGTAATGAATGCATACAAATGAGATGATTGGATGAATATGTTTAAAAGCCTGTATAAAAGAAGTATGATGGGCTGGGGATTTAGCTCAGTGGTTCCACTGCCTACCTCACAAGCTCAAGGACCGGAGTTCTGATCCCTGGTACCAAAAAAAAAAAAAAA